CCGCAGATGCTTAAGCAGCACATTCGTTGGACTTTCTGTAGTATTTTAATATTACACTTTTCATCCATGGCTGTCCACCAGACTTTTGACGCGTTAGTTAGAACAGGTCTAATCACGCTTTTGTATAGCAAGTGTATCATGTTAGGATTGAAACCCCATTTAGAGCCTATAGCTCTTTTACACGTTGCCCAACATCTATAAGCTTTGTTTGCTCTTTCCTGGATGTGGTCCCTCTAATTAAGTTTCCTATCTAGAATCACTCCCAGATATTCAACCTTATTGGAAATGTTGATTGTTCTGTTTAGGAAAACCGGTTCCTCGAAAAGACCCAGTTTTCTTTTCCTGGTAAAAAGACATATTTCAGTTTTTCCGAGTTGACGTTGAGACCTCTCGGTCTAGCCCAGTCGTATGCAAGTTTCAGAGCCGACTCGGCCCTTCTGCACAGTAAGTTAGGGTTCTTTCCCCTCAGAAGTATTATAACATCGTCTGCATAGCAGACTGGTTCAAAACCTTCGTTGGTTAAAGTCCTTAGGAGACTATTTATGGTAGTAACCCATAGGAGGGGTGATAATATCCCTCCCTGTGGAGTTCCTTGACCAACTTTGTCTCTTATGATGACGTCATATAGCCCACAACTTATCCATCTATCTAGCATATGGTTTATCCAGTCCCTTAGGGTCCTCTTGACCTATCTAAGGATTGGATTTCCTTCTATCTTCCGATGTATCCACGTTTGTTGTTGTTGTTGTTGTAGCAGTAGTACATGTATGTGTTTGCGCTCTGCTAATCTGGTTCCAGCTCCAGGTTTAGAAATTCGGCTACTTTAACGGGCTGTAGCCAGAGATCTTCTGGAGTGAGTTGGGTACATGTACATCCACGTTTGTCGTGGCGCTCGGTGGGAAGTGTGTTTTCATCAGCAGCCCTAGGGTTTCTTCTATTGTTTCCATCTTGTTATTTCTTAATAACATGCTCAACTATCTTAGACATCGATTGAAGTATGCATTAAGTCTTCAAAATACCAAAACGTGAACCTGCATAGATAATTTTCTGATAGAGGGGTAGCTCTATTGCTAGTCTTAAATTCAATATTTTAAACAATTACGTGGTTATCATTATTATTATTATCATCAAAATACGGAATATGGGGCGGTAAAATTAAATGGTGCCTACAAGAAAAACGTGGACCAATATAGGCAAGTTTCCGTCACCAAAGGTCGAATATTACGATCTACAAATTCAGAATTTGATATAAATCCGTTAGGAATTGTTTTAGCACATTCAACGGGTCATGCCAAAATACCGAATATCCAGAGGTACCGTTATGTGTACAACGTAGACCTTTATAGACATTGTTATGCCACAGGAGGAAAACCCCATTACAAACTTTTAATACCAATTTTGCAAAAATAATAAGGTAACTTTTAATACCAATTTTGCAAAAATAATAAGGTAACGAATAACAGAAGGTAACGTTATATGAAGGCATTACGAAAACGTGGACCGATAACCCAATTTTATTATACTAATTATCCTAAATACAATGATAAGCTCTATGTCAAATAATATGGACTTTATTTTGATTTCATCCGAAAGACAGAATTGGGCTCTGATATTAGCAAACGCTGGGCATATACAGAGAAAATGTTCCAAAGTTTCGTCGTCTTCCCTGCACGCCCTGCATATGCTGTTATCTGTGCAACCTATCTTGTATAGATGAGCTTGTAGGCCCAGATGCCCCGTAAGGATGCCTGTCACCTCACTGATCTCCTTCTTGCCTAGCAATAAAAGATTCTTCGTTTTTATCTCATTTGGGTCACCCCACAGGATTTTGGTGGTTTTCCCTATACCCATGTCTTGCCTAAGTTTACTGCTGCTAATTCCCTGCCTGTTCTAGCGAGAGAATTTGCTATCTCGTTACCTCTAACCCCGTTATGGCCTGGTACCCATATAATGCGAACTAAGCCGTGTTGAGAGTAGTTGTTGATTGAGTTTATACATTCCAATACAGTTCTTGAAGTTACTGTTTTGGATGTTATAGCGTTAATGGCTATCTTACTGTCCGTTAGGATGTTTACGATAGCCGGTCTCATATTAGCATTTAACCAGTTCAGACACACTGTAATCGCCCGGACCTCCGCTTGTAGGATCGTATTGTGATCGGTCAGGCGGAAAGAAATTTTGGTATTCGTTCCTTCGATAGAAAGACCCAGTCCTACTCTCTCCCCCAACACTGAACCATCTGTGTAACAACAGTTACCAATCGGCATATGTGATGGGAATCCATCGATCCACGAGTCTTTGTTTGGGATTAATGTTTCACAAGAGGCAGCTACAATAGATTCAGATATCCGGTCCGATACAAAGTTTTATATTGATTCTCCCGTTGCTACCTGTAAGATTCTTTGACGGTATGTAGCGTGGCCTTTGATTAACCACTCGTCCGTTGCCCTAAGCCTTAAGGCCGCGACGGTTGCTTCATACCGAATCTGAATGTCTATTGGCTGAAGAAATAGTAATGTCTCTAGTGCCCTAGTTGGTGTTGTCCTCATTGCCCCGCAGATGCTTAAACAGCACATTCGTTGGACTTTCTGTAGTATTTTAATATTACACTTTTCATCCATGGCTGTCCACCAGACTTTTGACGCGTTAGTTAGAACAGGTCTAATCACGCTTTTGTATAGCAAGTGTATCATGTTAGGATTGAAACCCCATTTAGAGCCTATAGCTCTTTTACACGTTGCCCAACATCTATAAGCTTTGTTTGCTCTTTCCTGGATGTGGTCCCTCTAATTAAGTTTCCTATCTAGAATCACTCCCAGATATTCAACCTTATTGGAAATGTTGATTGTCCTGTTTAGGAAAACCGGTTCCTCGAAAAGACCCAGTTTTCTTTTCCTGGTAAAAAGACATATTTCAGTTTTTCCGAGTTGACGTTGAGACCTCTCGGTCTAGCCCAGTTGTATGCAAGTTTCAGAGCCGACTCGGCCCTTCTGCACAGTAAGTTAGGGTTCTTTCCCCTCAGAAGTATTATAACATCGTCTGCATAGCAGACTGGTTCAAAACCTTCGTTGGTTAAAGTCCTTAGGAGACTATTTATGGTAGTAACCCATAGGAGGGGTGATAATATCCCTCCCTGTGGAGTTCCTTGACCAACTTTGTCTCTCATGATGACGTCATATAGCCCACAACTTATCCATCTATTCCTTAGCATATGGTTTATCCAGTCCCTTAGGGTCCTGTTGACCTGAAAGCTATCTAAGGATTGGATTAGTGTATCCGTGCTGACGTTGTTGAAAGCGCCTTCGATGTCAATGCATACTGCTAATGTGTACATCTTTTTATCGAAGGTGCTCTCGATGTGGTGTACAACCTCATGTAGAGCGGTTTCCACTGAACGCCCTTTAACGTATGCGTGTTGTTTATATTTAAGCATATCGTTTGCAGTCCTGCTCTTGATCATGGTATCGATTATGCGTTCCATGGTTTTGAGTAAGAACGATGTTAGACTTGTCGGTCGATAAGACTTGGGTATTGCGTAGCTTGCCTTCCCAGGTTTGGGTATAAAAACTACCCTGGATTCCTGCCAGGCTTTTGGAGTGTACGCAAACTTTAGGCACGCGTTGAAAATTCCGGCTAAGTTGGACGAAATAACGTCCACTTCCTTTTGGAGCAGAGCCGGGAAGACCATATCTGGACCCGCTGCCTTAAATGGTTTGAAACTTTTGATGGCTTCTTTTACCATCGATTCGTCAATTTTTGGTGCTTCCTCCGTCACATTCCTTCTATCTTCCGATGTATCCACGTTTGTTGTTGTTGTTGTTGTAGCAGTAGTACATGTATGTGTTTGCGCTCTGCTAATCTGGTTCCAGCTCCAGGTTTAGAAATTCGGCTACTTTAACGGGCTGTAGCCAGAGATCTTCTGGAGTGAGTTGGGTACATGTACATCCACGTTTGTCGTGGCGCTCGGTGGGAAGTGTGTTTTCATCAGTAGCCCAAGGGTTTCTTCTATTGTTTCCATCTTGTTATTTCTTAATAACATGCTCAACTATCTTAGACATCGATTGAAGTATGCATTAAGTCTTCAAAATACCAAAACGTGAACCTGCATAGATAATTTTCTGATAGAGGGGTAGCTCTATTGCTAGTCTTAAATTCAATATTTTAAACAATTACGTGGTTATCATTATTATTATTATCATCAAAATACGGAATATGGGGCGGTAAAATTAAATGGTGCCTACAAGAAAAACGTGGACCAATATAGGCAAGTTTCCGTCACCAAAAGTCGAATATTACGATCTACAAATTCAGAATTTGATATAAATCCGTTAGGAATTGTTTTAGCACATTCAACGGGTCATGCCAAAATACCGAATATCCAGAGGTATCGTTATGTGTACAACGTAGACCTTTATAGACATTGTTATGCCACAGGAGGAAAACCCCATTACAAACTTTTAATACCAATTTTGCAAAAATAATAAGGTAACGAATAACAGAAGGTAACGTTATATGAAGGCATTACGAAAACGTGGACCGATAACCCAATTTTATTATACCAATTATCCTAAATACAATGCTAAGCTCTATGTCAAATAATATGGACTTTATTTTGATTTCATCCGAAAGACAGACAGAAGAACCTTGTTAATTCAACATAGAATTTTAAGTTGATCTCCAACGAATATTTGTAGCTGTTATAAACGGAACGAACAATTTCCAAAGGTGGAGGTTATAAAAATATTCAAATCAATGTTTCTGTTGTATGGGTTCCTGAAAATTGACTATATCCCGATAAAATAGACTTTCCACAAAATAATTACATCGTCTTAAAATATTCTTATCATTATAATACATAATATTTAATACATAATACAAAAAATTAATTCATTTATTCCAACTTTTGAAAAATGATGGATGGAATGATAGAACGATTCGGCCTTTTTAACTGTATATATTATTATGTTTCAAAACAAAAATATACATAAAAATTCACTTACGATCAAGACCTCCAATATAACGTATGGTGACTTCGCAATGGCCCCATACAGCTGATACGACTGGATATAACTTTTTACCTCTCAGTCCTCTAAATGCCACTCCCAGGTATTGGTGATCAATAATAAAACTTAAAGTCCCTTCGTCCATGTCAAGAGCTACTAAGAATTTATCTGGAACCAAGAACGCTTCGTCGTTTTTAAGAATTTTAGGATAAGTAACTCCAGCGTAATTCTTGGAATCGTGATATAGTTTATTTCTTCCTAAGTCCCATCCCCAGCTTTGATCGGTTGAACCAACTAGACTTTGATATCCAACAGAATGTAGTGGTGCCTCCGCCGTAGCAACGCCAACAACTGCATGGGTTCCTCTTTGCCTTGTGGGCCAATATATTTCCCATATATGAAGACCTTTTGTCATTCCGACTTTTCCGCGTATGCAGTCAGTACTTTGAGCTACAGGATGTCGATGAAATGTCAATTTATCCTCTTCTTTAACGAAAATATTTAAAGATCTATCTTCTGAGTTCCACGAATGTTTTAGTTGAACTTCTTTATTTGCTGGAGGCATGTCTAATAAAATATCTATTCTTACTGGATTTACAAAATCAAGAGCCAATTCCCTGGGTATTATTGGTTTAAATGCGGTTTGCGAGTCATTTCTATTCACAGTTTTAACACTGCCGCTTATTTTTTGCCCCATGTTCATAACACGACAACTCCGAGATCGTCTGTGATCCACTGTTGCCACTTTATAAGACAATCGCAGCCGTTCAAAATCTCTAGGTTCCAGTCTTGACAAACTAACACGGAATGACGTGATTGATGATGACAGGCTCTGAGGTCGACGTCTATCACTTGACCTTGCAGCAGGCGTCTTTCCACCTATAGATCTGTAAGTAAAGAAACAAATATATGTAAATGTAACATTTGTTCATCGATTTATTTTTTATTTATATACAAACAATTGTGACACACGTAGAGTTCAGGTAGATTTATTTAATAGATCTGCTTACAATATGTCACAAAAAAAAAAAATTGAGTAGGTTCTTGGATTCATTACCTGTAAGTATGTATAGAAGTTTTAAGGCAAAATAAATCCTGCTTATTAATTTTTAGGGAGTCTTATCATGATTAAATGTTAATGATTTTTGTAACAAAAAGAAACTTAAAATAATTAAAACTTTAGGAAATAAGATACATTATTATAAAACAAATAGGATTTCTGGGATGAGCTTTAGGAGCAGCATATTCCGGAAATTCTGCTGTTCTGGCCCGTGTCAGACTTGTGCATCATTTTTCATGTTGGTAAAAACGTTACAACGTTGCAAACAATGTAATGTGTAAATCTCCATCACAGTCTTCTGACAGCAAATTCTATTGCGACATCTTGTAGTTTCAACTCCTGATTGAGCATATTTTTATACCCTCCACCACACTATAGACGGTAAATTATTTCATTTATATTTTATATGTTGCGATGAAAACGCCATTTTCCAATAAGTGTCACACTTAGCGGAAAACTACAAAAGTGTACACCATAATAAAAAACATATTTTAAGATTATTACATAGCGTATCTTAAAGTAACGTATGAAATTATATATAAAAAAATATGGAGACCAAGAAATGTGTATCTATATTTCTATTGCTGGTAATAGAAAACAACATTGAATAAAATAATACAATCGCCATATATTATTAACAAAAAAATCGTTTTCAAACCTGCGGCGAAATACACCGCGGGAAAACGAGAACTGTCTTAGCTCAGATTCCAGATTCATACGGAACGAAGCATGAAAGATATTTCATATTGAAATGTAGATAAATGTGGAAAAATTCAAGTCGATCTCGCTGAAAGCTGAGAAATTTTAAATAGATTTATATAGAAATGAAACTACGCGTTGGTTAACAAAAGTAGAGAATGGCACTTCTTGAAAGATCTCTGCATGTGCAGAAATATAGTCAAAACCAGACAAATTATAAACATATCATAAAAAGATGTTAACAAGTTTTTCTATTTTCATAAAATACTCATGCGTTGTACCAGAAATCACTTCAATACAATAGAAAAATACGGACAATAACAAAGAAAATGCTAGGTTTCTTTTTACAAACAAAGCTAAATAGAAATCAGCATATTATAACTTTGGGGTACAATGCATCAATATGCAAAGAAAAATCGAGCTAAGCATTAAGGACAACACCTTAACAATTTATACGGTCAACAAAATCAAGTGCTACACCCTTAACCTGTATATTCTTATTGCTATTCAGTCGGCAAGGTGGACCAAATATCAATGATTTTGGCTTAGAAACATTAACTCAACCAACGTGAAATATAACCTAATGTTGTGTCTTTATGCTATTTTTTAATTGAAAGCTTTATTGTTCATTAAAAAATAAATGAATGTCGTCTGCGTACATAAACGAATGGGACGAAAAAAATACAAAAACTAAGTATTAATAAAAAAGAAAAAGTAAAAATTATGACATAAAATAATAAACATTTTCTACAAAGTGTTGAGTTCGACTCGTTATTAAACAACATTTTTTTAGCCGCCCTCTTCCCGAAATTAAACACTTTGAAAATTATTCAAATAACATGTTTTTTAAAGTTAATAGGGACTTTATGTGTTTTAAGAACAATTTGTTTTATGCGTATTCAAATTCGAACTAACTTGTATGTTTCCTTCGTTGCCGTTTTAAGTCTTTCCTTGAAATCTACCTAGACACTGCCGTTAGAGGACAACAACAACCCAGTAAACAATTTTTTCCGACTGCTCTGATTTTAGATTTTTTTCCGAAATTTCTGACGTTTTTTTCAGAAATTTCTGATAGAAATTGGTCCGATTTTCTAAACGTTTTTTTTTAGAATTTCTGCACATTTTCCTGTGTTTTTAAGCGAAAAAACTCGAAAAATGTACAAACTGAGAGAGTAGATTGTCTATTGCTCTGGCATATTCTCTCCCACATGTAAACGTATGGTGCTGGTTTGACACATTCTCTCCCATAGTAGTTGTTGTTGTGATCATTAATTTCAAGATCTCAACAACAACAAAGCGCAAAGCAAAAATGCTATTTGTTATTGTTATTGTGAACTGTTAGATTTTCCGTTGTAAAAATGTGCGTTTTGTTGTTGTTGTGAATCAGCCTCTTTCTCTTTCGTTCCCAAAAAAATATGATGGAAAAAAATTGCAAAAACAACTACATACCGGTTTTCTGTGTGCACTGCTTTTTATTTTTAGTTCTTGTTTAGCAGTTGAAACAGAAACGTGCTACTGTATGTTATGTTCCTAATAAAAATAATATTTATAATGTAAATGTATTATAGATGTAATATTTAAACTACATTTTTACGAAACCCGAAATAAATTGTTTGTTTTTTAAATAAATATGTGTTTTTTTTTTTTCATTTTTAAGTGGTGTGACGATTTTTTCGATATTTCTTCCGAATTCTGAACGATTTCTTTCAGAAAATCGGAACTTTCTCCCGAATTCTGAGCGTTTTTTTTTTCAGAAAATCTGAATTTTATTCCGAATTTTCTTTCGAATTCTGACCGATTTCTTTCAGAAAATCTGAATATTCCGCCGAATTTCCAGACGAATTCTGCCCGATTTCTTTCAGAAATTCGGAGTTGTCCTCCGAATCTTTTCCGAAAATCTAATTTTTTCTCCTATTTTTTCAAGAATTTTCACCGAATTCGGACCGAATTCGTCCAGAAAATCTAATATTTTTTCAGATTTTTTTCAGAAAATCTTTCCGAATTCGGTGACCACGTCCATACAACTTTCGTACCGAAATCGGAAGGAATTCGGAATCAGAATCGGACATTTTTTCAGAGATTCTGACAGAAATCGGACCGAATTCGGCAAAAATTGTTTACTGGGAAATATTGCATACGTTGGTATTTATGTATGTATGTGTAATTGCAGTGAAGAATGCAAGTAAATAAAAAGGGCAACGAAAAATTCAAATTGAAGAGAATAGATTAATGACTACATAGTTATTCAAGGTTGCAACACAGTCAACATAGCAAAATAAGGAAAAGTAAATAAAATTAGTAAATAAACAGTGGCGACGGTAACATTCCCCCCTTCGAAAATTCGCTGGAACTGGTTCTGACTTTGACGCTTCGAACTTGACCATCTTTTACTGCAAATAACTCGGTTATAATACCTTTGGGCCACTTGTTGCGAGGTAGCGTATCATCAACAATATTTCGACATCTCCGACTGTTGGTGGTGGAACCTTTTCGAACCACTTGCTTCTTCTTACCAACATTGGACCATATTTACGAACCCATCGTCTCCAAAAATTATTCGCGAATTTCTGGGTTTGATGCCACCGGTGTATCCAGTTTTGAACGATGCCATATGAGGTGGACATGGTGCTGCTGCTAAATTTTTGCACATTTGACAATTGATCCGTGCACTCTTATAAAAGGCTCTCAATCTGGGAATGTAAAATTCGGATTTAATATTTGACATAACTGATTGGTACATGCAATCGTCAAATTTTTGATGGTAAAATCAAACTACCAAGAACGTTACGTAATTGTCATTGGGTAAAACTATTGCATTGTTACATCTTAACATCTCAGCTTTTCCTGAGAAACGTTTGTTTCAATTTACTTCCTTTTTGTATGTGCTTGTCATTCTGGATGCACCATATTTCGTCACGAAAATCGCATTTTTGGGCATACTTGTACAAAACAATTTTGGATTTCTGGACGCATTCAAAATCTACGTGTACTGATAATTTGCTGTTACGGACCACAGACTTTAAATTCTCCTTATAAAGTAGACATAGCGACAGCACTTTATAAAGTCGTCTACAGCATAAAAAATATTCAACGTTTCGGGTGAATTTATGTGATTTCGAAGTATATAACAGACAATTGCATACCTCTTCATTGGTTTTTTCTAATACGTGATTTTTTGGCCAAGAATTTTCATCTTCTTCGAGGAACTTAGGACCATGGAACCACATATCATCTTGAAAGGATCCAATCTTCGTCCCAAAATCAGCTGGATTTAATTTCGAGGGCACCCAATTCCAATATTCGTAGACTCTAGAATTTCTCCAACTCTGTACATGACGAACGGCTTAAAGTTCTTCGAATCCATCCAGCTCAGCACAGTCTTTGAGTCGGACCGGAAGAAAACTTGCGTACATTGAAGTTTCGTAGCTTTGACTATTTCATCTGCTAAGCGCACTCCAGTTAGGGCTGCTTGAAGTTCCATCCTCGGAATTGAAACGGGTTTTAATGGAGCCACTTTTGATTTTGCTGCTACAAGACTGATACTGACTTCTTCGAGATACTGTATACGAAAGTAGCACAACGCTACGTATCCGTCTTCGCCAGCATCGACAAAAGTATGCACCTGAACGTCTTGCGTGAACTTCAACAGTTTGGAGTAACATCTTGGAACTTGCACTTGCGAAATCTTCTCCAGATTGGACAACCATGAGGACCACTTTTTGTTCGTCGTTTAATTCGTCGTCCCATTTTATCGCTGATCGCCAAATTCTTTGCCGCGGTATTTTTAATCCAATTTTATAATGGGAGATGAATCCAATCCCTCTTGGTAGGGACCACATTAGACTTGAATACATTTCTCGAGAGCCCTAAAAATCTGCAATTATACTGAAACAGCTATTATTGCATTTCCAATACATACCAAGCAACAACAGCTCCAAACGTATTCTTTGTATGCTCTCCATTGTCTAATTGTTTATGCACCAGTTTAGAGTTTGACACCCAATTTCTCATATGGAATCCACCGGCAGCATAAATCATTTTAACTTGTAACTCCTCTTCTTCAGGTTGTACACTCTCGATAAAATTGTCCATGAAGAGGTACTACTCCACGGCCTTGACTGCTCTGGG